CAGCTTACCAGGAGAACATCTGCTCTCACAAAGACAACACTGGAAAAATTCCTCCCCATTCTAGCTTACACTGCTTGTCCCCAAAGCCTGGGGACAGACTTTTTAAAAAACAGGCGTTCAAACCATGTAAGTAAGGGTCTATATTTCCGCACATCTCTTCGACCACTTGTCTTTTATTTCCTCGTCAGCTGCTTCCCACTGACTAGAGAATGAATGGGGTGTCATTCTGCCATTGGGTAACACGTAATTATAAAGCAGTGATTATACTTCGAACAGAAATCTAAATAATGTATCACACTCGTGGAAAACATAACACAAGAAAACATCTAAACACCTCTCGGCATGTATAATAAATCTGACATACTCTTTATAAAACTCAAAATTTAAGTTAAGAATAACAAATTTATTTTAAAGACAGTGTATACTTTCACAGAGTAATAAAGCAAAGGATGGTGTTTGGAGAGACTCTACAGCACGGTCCCCGGCCCTGGTGTGACACACAAGACATGTGACAAATCACCTCAAAAGAAACCCGTCACATCACCATTAGGGAAGTCACCACCACCTCCTCGGAACAGTTATTCATTTTAATCACAAAAATAAACATATTCCACTCTCGCAAAATGGTAAGGGAGCTCAATAAATGAAGTCACGACTTTGTGTTATCTGCAAACACTTGGAAAATTATACCCGAGAATTGAAATTCTCCAAATGTTCTGACATCTAAACATTTCAGTCATGGAAAAGTCATGGTCAACTGACCTGAGCTAACCCTCTGCAAGGCCACCGAAATGCCCCAGAACTCCTTATGGCTTTTGTGAAGACTCTGGCGAGAAACAACAGCAGTGAAGTGTGGATTTGGTTATTTTTTAAAAAGCACTAAGTGCCCATCAGTAAATGAATGGATCAAAAAATTATGGTACAGCCCTGGCTGGTGTAGCTCAGTGGACTGAGTGTGGGCCTGTAAACCAAAGGATCATGGTTCGATTCCCAGTCAGAGTACCCTGCCTGGGTTGCAGGCCAGTTCCCAGTAGGGGACACATGAGAGGCAACCATACACTGATATTTCTCTCCCTCTCTCCTTCCCTTCCCCTCTATAGATAAATAAATAAAATCTTTAAAAGTATTCTGGTAAATTTACACAATTGAATACCACACAGCAGAAAGAAAGAAGGAACTCCTACCCTCTGCAACAGCATGGATGGAACTGGAGAGCATTATGCTAAGCAAAATACACGAGGTGATGAAAGACAAATACTGTATGATCTCACCTGTAAGTGGAGCCTAACCAACAAAACAAACAAGCAGGTAAAATATAGCCAGAGACATTGAAATTAGGAAGAAACTGACTATAACCAGAGGGGACCAGGGAGGGAATACTAGGGGTGGGGGGAAGGAGGGAAGGGTTTTCAGGAACATGTATAAAGGACACATGGACAAAACATAAGGGAGGTAGGATCGAGGGTGGGAGGTGGGGATGGGTGGGGTGGAGGCAGGGGTGGGGGCGAATGGAGACAGCTGTACTTCAACAACAACAACCACAACCCACAACAAAAGCACTAGACTTGGGACATTAAGATGGGGTTTTAGGCCAACTTCTACTTCAGAACTTAAAAACTTCGATATAACTGAGGCTCCAAAATGATTAGAGCTGATGAGATCATCTTTAAGATCCCCTTTAGTTATAAAACCCTCTACTTTTAATAATAGATGTTTATTTTAATGGGTAATAAATTAGGTCAGGTCAAAGACAAAAATAAAAATATTTTAAAAATATTCTGTTCAAAGGCTCCCTCTAGCCTCACTTCCATCTGTCCTGCTCGCCACCTCCATACTCTGAACCCCCACAGAAAACTCTGTTTTATTAGTTTTTATATAACCTTTCTGAGTCTCTTTACAGAAATGTGATCAAACACTAATGCATATTTTCATTTAACTCTTTTCTAACAAAAAGGCATCACACGATAACCTGCTGATCTTTACCACAGTGCATCTTGAGCACTGCCCATATCAGCGCACAGAGACTCCCCATTCTTTTTAACGACTGGGCAGTTTTCATTATATGGTGTCTGAAATCTGTTTCAGCCACACAGATAGGCACTCAGATTTTTCCCAGTGTTTTGGTATTATACATCCTGCTGCAAAGAACAAACTTTTAGGCATATTATCTGTATAGTGTATCTTTAGGAGAAATTTCCAGAAATAAAACTGCTGAGTCAATGGGTAAAATCCATTTATAATTTTAGTAAAATCTGCCAAAATGCCTTGGATACTGTTTGCTCCTACCTGCATTCTCACCAGCAAATCTGAGAATTCTCGTTCCTCCACATGTTCACCAAAGCATAATATCTTTTCCTTCTCTTTTGAATTTCTACTTCATCTTATAAATACATGCCGTCTCAGTGGGATTTCAACTTGCATTTCTCTTATTATGATGAGTTTGCCTAAGAATCCTTGTGTTAATTTCAACTGTGAACTATCTGTTGATATTTGGAAACCTTTTTCTGGAAGTTGCTGCTCTTTTACTTACCGGTTTATCAATAAAATCTCTACTATTTCAGGAAAACAACCCGGTGGCCCAAACACAACCCTTAAAAATTGCCAGTGGATCCTGGACTAATGATACTGATCACTTCTCAGATGCTTTGTTAAAGAAAAGGGGGGAGTTATCTCTCAGATTTTCTTACTGGAAGGTAGTAACCACTATACTCAATATTCTACATCTAATATATGATATTTATGAAGAAATTTTCTTTTCTGTGATTTTGCAACAGATATGCTTTGTTTTCAATAGAAGAAATAGTTTGGAAACCTCATGAACACAGTTTTATTTCATAAAATATCACAAACACTTGAGTGACAGAGAAGAAAAAGTAATTGTCACTAAATGTTAGGTATGAAAAAGCTTAATATATTAAAACATTTAATATTCAAAATATATTTGTATAATTATTTCATTGCACATTTTAAGAGTTCAGTATACCAATGTACAACAATTTTAACATCATGAAATGCAATCGTCTAAACAAGCACACACATATTCCTAGTAAATATTCAAGCAATGCCAAAAATCTCTTTTCTAAAAAATATTTTTAAGAGTTTCAATTCATGAGTATATTAAAAAATTCTAAAAATGCTGGTGAACATTAAACTTCTACCATAATGAAATAATCAAGCAGCCAAAATGCATGTATTAATACTTTTCCTTTTTTCATTATGTAAGAAAATATCCAACCAATTTTTAAAAAAATTCTTACATAGATTTTATTACTAACTACAAATTTGCAAACTCCAATTAAGCACATTTTAGATACTAGGAAAGGACTTCCTTCAATGACAGGAAGCCCATCTACGCACATGGTTTGATCATAGCTGTTAAAAAGAAACTGAGGTGGCTCGAGGGGCTTTCAAACTCTCCTAGTGAGCTAATGCTAAAATTCACAAGAGTAACAGACTTCTCTTATCTACCACCACTATAGATTTTATCATGTAAAACCTGTAGAGTCACTTTAAGGAATTACAAAAATACTTATGCATTTTTCCTTTTTTTTTTAGTTAAATGTATTGGGGTGACATTGGTTAACACAATTATATAGGTTTCAAGTGTACATTCCTAAGATACACGATCTGTATATTGCATTACATGCTCACCACCCAAAGTCAAATCATTTTCTGTCACCATATATTTCATTAGACTTCTGCCAAGTACCCGCGGAATGCCATGGGTACCCCACTTTGACAGCCCTGAAATCTGGAGCACAGGGATTTGGCTAGTCATTGTGAGTGCCGAAACGGAGGCAACAACCTAAGCATCGTACACAGGAGTCCTCTCACCACCATGGGGAACAGGAGGGCCAGGCCTCCCGCCCTGTTACGCTTTATGAGTGGCTTTGGGCTGGTTACATAAACTCTCTGTAACTACATTTCCTCATAGGGCAGTCCTCGTTTTGAGGATTAAACGAGTTAGGCACTTGAAACAACACAAACAGTGTTACATAACTTCGCCATGTGCTAATCAGACCTCATCCCATTACTGCACAACCTGCATAAGAATCAACAGATGAAATAGAAACATCCAAAAGTACCTCCTCCGTGGGGATGAGCATGGAGGAAAAGCGAGGATAAAAGCTTAAGACACCCATGTCAGTGGAGTACAGGCATGCCATGGAGAAGCTGGGAGTAACACAAGCTAAAGTTGGCACAGAGTACATGACAGCCACCAGGAAAACTGGAACTTATCCTGTGGGTGTCAGTTATCTCCCAGTATGATTAACAGGACACGCAAACCAGACCCTGGTGAACTGAAAGGTTATCACAAAGCCCCTGGATTATTTGTGGTTATCTGTCAAAATCCCTCCACCAGCTGACTTGTCTAATCTCTTCTGATTTTCTCTTCCATTATTCCTTTTATTTTCTCATCTTCTCTCCTTTTGCCTTGCTGCTTTCTTCCCTGACTAAACCTTAAACCTAAGGGATAACAAATCATGTTATTAAATTTACAGCGTGGTACATGGTTCTCCATGTAACAATTATTTTAGTGTAACCTGGTTCCCAATTTAATTATTTTAATGTATTATAGCATCAAATTATTGACTATCTGGGAGCAACTGGGCTCTGAGGAAATCTTAATTTATTGTAAATAAAAATATGAAGAAATGATTTATCAAAACTTTACTGCATTTTTCAAAGCCACTTCATAGACACTCTCAAGTGTTTAATCTCAGTCACTTAGCAAAACTGCACCCTCTATCATCCACAGCAGCAGCAAAGCCTCGGATTGTTCGATCAGCGAAGGGGACCACGCTTTACAGAGATGGACTGAGAAGCTCAAGATCATGTGACCCACCATGGAAGGGAGCTGGAACTGACTCCTGCAGGAAGCTGACCACGAAACACACTATTTTTCCATTTCTGAATTATTTACAGTATAACTTTCTTTAGAGACAATTTGGCACCCTCCCAAATCACCCAAACACTCCACATTTTCACAGAACACAAACCTTTGGGAGGTGTGAGATTGACTCCATTTTTAAGGCACCACTGTACTGGTAAAATCCCCAAAGAATCCGCATGGCACAGCATTGAGAGTTTACTAGGTTCTGGTCTTAGGTCATCAATAGTCACTTGAAAAAAATGATTATTAAAAACCTGAAAGAGAAAAGCAACACAGGCAATGGTAAATTCCCTGGGATTACATATCAGGCTAGTAATGAAATACTGGCACAGCTTCCAAACGCAATCAATATATCTCATCAAAATGGTTTGACCACAAACTGGCATTCCAATGTGCATTACTACACTGACCCAGTTCCTGCAAGTTAGAGTTGATCACTGTGGTCACACTGATGAAAAGTAAACAAGAATATACAGGAGAGACAGAGTGACATGCAAACCAACAGTCAGAGCTGAAGGATGAACACACTGCTGAAGACGGACAAAACTTGGCTGGGGAAAAGCCAGAACAGGCACTGAAAGGTTTGACTGGTTTCTCCACATCCACAGCAACAATGCAAATTCTCTCACCAGGTCGTTTAAGGACCTCCGAGTTCTGGCCTAGAGATTCCTCGTCTCCTCTAATCTCAGGTATCACTCATCTTATTACTGCCCCACTGCCCCACCCTCCAGCCCAAGAGGAAATCATTCCCGCCAGACCTGCCCTTAGCTGGCGCTCTCCCAGTCTAACAGCCCACTCCATTGTCAGTCTGTCAACTCACAGTGTCTTATCTAAGGCCCATCCTGAAAGTCACTGCTGCTGGGACATTTTCCCAACCAGTCCAAGGGGACACAGGGCCCTTGCTCTGTGCCCCCAAATCATCAGGCTCATACCTCTGAACTGAAAATCCTCCTATCTGCCGCTCTGTGCATTGACTCCACAGCTGTCTCCCCCAACAGATCCCAAGTGCTTTGGGGACTGTGGCCTCTTCATCCCTCACCAAGGTATTCCCACCATGCAGAGAAAATGCCTTGTACACAGAAAGTGGATAATCATCCACTGGATATAAGGGGGAAAAGAAGCCCATGAAGCAATAGGAACAAGATGTGCTGGCAGAAAAAGCAGGATACAAAAATCAGGTGAACCCAACAGTGAAAAGCAGGACAGACTTTAAGAACCAAGTATGTAAAACACATGCAGGTAGGGGGAGAGCAGAGGGTGAAGAGCACTTTCCCAACCCGACGGAAATCAGCCACTCTTTCTTAGGAAACTTTAACACTCTTCCTAAGCTCTGATTCCTGGTTCCTTCATTTACAAAGTATTTTCTGAAAGCAATCTAGTCAAAGATAAGCAGAAGAGTACAATCACTTCAGTTCTGCTTGATGTTAATTCCAGTAAATAGTTAGAATTCTGCTGCCTGAGCTTTGCAAAGGATCAAACATCACTCTCCCAGGAAGGCGTCCCCCTGACAACCCTATGTAAAATTACACCTTCCCTTCTTCCACCGACGCTCCGTTAGTCCCTTCCCTGATGCCGCTTTCTCCTTTTCATTTTATGTGCAACACACTATATTTGTTTACTTATTGCTTCAGAGGAAAGCTAAATGATTCAAAAACACTGGTCCATCTGGAAAACACGCAGGTCTTGAACTACAGTCTGGAGCATTTAACCAGCTTGCCCAAGACTGTGCAGCTCAGAGCAAACAGAAACAGAACCCAAGACGTCTAATTCCAGTATACTTTGCTCTAAACAATGCAATATATTCCACACAGATGATATTTTCATCAGCACCATCATCTGTCAATATGTCATCGTTTTGGAACACCAAAACATAATCCCACTATATAAGGGCTGGTCATTTAACACTGGATTTGCTACATGCGTATCTGTTTTCTTGTCTATTTGCTTTAATGTTATTTATTTCTTCAACAGTTATACCATCAAGAAAAAAGCCCCAAGGAAAATAAAAATGAAAGTTTCATTATGATGAGTAATAACAGCATAGTGCATTATATTCTCAGGCATTTTTCCAGGGTTCAGAGAAACATATTTACTTATAAATGCCTTCTACATGGAGATTATTCTGATACTTTGCTACACACAGATGAGTGCTGAACCTGGGGAGGTGCTCATCCAAGTTCATGCATTACACAACACATGGCCAGTAGGGTAGAGGGGTAATAAAGAATGATTTCAGTATTTTATCTTTGGAACAAGAGTGAGAAATACAAAAATAAAAATGTATCTTAAAAATCAGAAAAAATATCCTCCCACCCCTAAGCTCCAAGAAAATTTATTTAGGGAGCAAAGTGCTTTATTGTGGAGACCAAACTACTGCCAATGGAAGTCTCCCAACAAGACAAAGATATTCAGGCTCAAACTAATTGTAATTCATATGTCACATCCTAGTGTTACTTACATCTATATACACACACATATATGTGTATATATGTATATATATGTATATATATATGTATATATATATATATATATATATATACAGATACATAGAAAACTACTTAAAAGCACAAAATATGAGAGTCCACCCCTGAAAGGCTAAGCACATCTGCATCTCTGTTTGACTTTAAAAAAAAAAAATGAATTCCAAGTACAAGCTGACACCATAGCCTCTTAGAACGGGGACAAGGCCCAATATATATCCTGATAAATGGGTGGCTGGCATCACTATATCACCTGCTGCTCGAACGAAGGGAAATTCTGGTCAGGTTTCAACGAGATTTCACTGTTTAGTTTTCCACAAATGTGCACCAACCAGAGTGCACAAGAGAGAACCCTGAAGGCCATTTCAAATAAAAAGGTTTTTAATGGATGGTGTTCGAACATGACAGCCTGCATTTCAACCCTGAGATGATCACTCAAAGCGGAAATCAATATTTTTCTCATATGTAGTTATTCTTTAAATAAATTACCGTAACAGTTACAGAAATAATTTATGTTCATTAGAGGAGAAATATTTCAGAAAAAAAAGACATTTCATTATCATAACCATTTTCCATGTTCTGTAATATATTGTCACTACTATATTTGTCAAATTTTAACAAATCATAAATGTTAAAAGAGTACGATTTGAATAACTTTAAAACACTCATCACTTCATTAACAAATTCAGTCTTTTGGGAAAGAGGAAATTAAAATGAAATTAACTTTTTAAAATGCCTTCAACTTTATGAAATTGAGAAATCATTCTGTGATCCCCAAAAGGGTCACATTCCAGGACCACACATCTGGAGATCACACGGTTCACATCACTGTCCTCTGGTTAAAAAGTCCTGCTGCATCTTGCTTCTGGGGTGTCTCAGGCATGTGACAGTTACCAGGGCCACTGAAGACACATATGCTTATACCCCAACCACAAGTTGAGTCACTCTGCCACGTGAAGTAACATCAAAGAAACGTTTTTGTTTTTACTTCCAAGGTCAAATACATTCTTGTGTTAGGGAGAGAAAGAACAAATAGACCCAACTGATTTCTTTATATTAATTATGTGACTATTTCTTTGGAAAAGTACTTCATTGATCAAGACTCTCAGAAAAAAACAATGCACAAAGTAGTCCTTTCTTTGAGCTGCCGGCAATAATGAAATACAGAAGTCCACAGCAGATAAACAATCAAGTTTTTCAAATAATTCCAAATCAAAATACAAATTTCTTATCTCTTCCTTTTGGATCACAGATTTCAAGATAGACCATTTATTTCTCCATATGAACCAAATGCAATCTTATCAGCACACGTGGTAAATGTTTCCAAAATAGCAAGGCAAATAAAAGATGCCAATAAATGTACAATTAGAGGTATCCTGTTGGATCAGGAAAGCGTTCCTTTTAGCTTAAGAATGACTGACATCCCGAATCGCTGCGGTCTACCTTCATCATCCCCTGCACACAATAATATTTTCATTGTGCAAGTTGTGTATGCCCAGTAAGCCCATGGAAAATTCAGCAACGTGCATGGCTTTAAAGGGAAACTCCCACACTTCCTTTCTCTCTTTTGTGATTATGATGAAAATATAGTGTATGGAACGATTCACTGGACTTTTCAATTCCAGTTGGAGAACTGGCCCTTGCTAAAATGGGTGATGTGTATCTTCCATTAACCACCAGAGCACTCAGTAAGAAACAAACTTAAAATTCAGTTCTAAAACAATCAGGTATTATGTTTCACCAGCTAACAAGCTACGATAACTCAAGGTATAGATAACTCTATAGTTCCCTTGGACCCCCAGACGCCTGTGGAATGCTTTTTTCCAGGAAGGTAACTGGGACGATACAGTAGTCATAAATGGGACCACAGGTTTGGGTGAATGTAGTTAACATTTTACGGAGCATCCGCAGTACCAGGAAGTGTGCCGCCCACTTCATACACGATCCCTCACTTCTTTCAATGACACGAACTAGACAAGACAGCAGCTACTGTATAGGTATGAAAACTAAGGTTCTTAAAATATAAGTAATTTACTAAGCTAGTAACTAGCAAAACTGGCTGGGATTTATCTGCAAAGTCATTTGTTTAGACTAAAACATTATGCCCCCAAGGAATTAAAGCATTAAACATTACTTTGCTGGAAATCATGAGACTTGGGTTTGAATCCATGGAATTGACTTTTGAACCGTTAATTACATTTCCCATGAAATTCATCAAAGGCCATTAACTAAAACAGACATTAGTTTAAGAGTGCTAAGTCTGCTGGTTTCTTCCACCATTTATAAGACATACTTAAGATAAAAACGCATACTCCAGATACTACCATAGCTGGCTTCATTGAGATTTCTTTGACGGAGAAGGGAAATTATAATCGTAAAAGCCTATCAGACCATAATAAAAATCACTTTATATGAAAAAGTGCTTTCATTTTAAATCTACAAATCTCAGAAGCACAACTTTGCCTGTAGTCAATAAAAGCAGATGTTTACAAGGAAGTAGACAGGCTGACACACAGGCACTGGGAATTTGCTTTTCACTATTTTCAGGTATTTTTGAAATATAAATAGATCATATTAACTACTATCAGGCAGGAGGAACAAGCGCACTGCAAATTCACAGCCACGCAGTCCCTCACACACACAAGTGTCCGCATAGTGTGCTGCTGGAAGACGAGTGAAACTTACCCATCCATCACAAGAGGGAACATCTGATTAGACTCACTCTATGCTACTAGTGACAGAGAGAGCTTCAAATAGTGCTGGACAGGGGAGAAGGCCATCCACCTTTGGGTTACTTGGCGGAGCGATATATCCTTGTGCAGGCATATTTCATCTGGTTGGCTTTGAGAAGAAAGACTTACGCGATGCACTCTGGAGGCTGAGGTGAGGAGCAAGAGAAGGAAACTCACCTTGGTCACTGATGCAGGACAGATATGAAAGGGCTCACTCATATTCACTGTTTCTAGCTTCATCCCAACTGTGAAGAAATGGCTGCGTAAATCTGCATGATCCTGCAGGGGAAAGGGTACAAATATTCAATGTGCTGGTATTGCAAATTAACTCAGTGACTGTCTGAATGCTACCCTTGAACATTTAATTGGGCAACCAAAATCAGATTGAAATAATTAACCCTCCCCGTTTCAAATTTCTAATCATTACAAGATACTGCGGATTTAATTATTTTTCTGCAAGCTAAATTGCTTTTCCAAGAGAGAGGAAACAAGCCTTTGTGGTCATGCTTAAATTTACACGAAGCAAAAACATTCACGTTGCCCTGCTTTGATCTTGTTCGGCACTGTAAACGGAGCACAGCCGAGTAATGGAGGCAATCAGTCATCTGAAACACAGCAGGAGCGTCTTCAGAAGACGTGGCCTCTGGCCACTGGGCTTACTTCACAGCGTTTCAGTGAGTACCTCGTGGGTGACACCGCTTGTCTCTGTGTCCCCTGTGTAAGAGCACACAGCATACCAGTCACTGGTGGTGAGCTGATGATCTTGGAGATGTGTGCACACGAGGGTCCAAAACAGCCCTGCAGACAATCAGACCCTGACGCTTGCTCAATAAAGATGAGTGACGCCCCCAGCTGAATAGGTGTCTGGCAGTTTTATAACCCACTCACAGCCACCTTATGTGGCTTTCCTGCTTTTTCAAGAAAAAAAATCTCAATACCCACTTCAGCTATACAGCATTAGATGAAGCTGGTTGGACTCTGATACCAGAATTTATCTTGGTGAGATGGAGGTCACCTCATAACTCACAGTCTGTATAAACAGTGGTGGCCAAATAAATGAATGTATTGAAGACTGCCCCTGAGGAAATAATAGCTGCAAACAAATCCCTCTATTTCCAAGTACATCAATTGGGTGAGAAGTACCAAAATACCTGGGGATCTCCCACTTCCTTTTATCTGCAAATCTAAAGTGGCTCTTTAATTAATTCAATGATGCATTCTACATCTGATGATTGTTAAGAGCCCGCCAGGCTGTGCCTGCTCCCCTGGGAAAAGCTGGCCAACGCAGTGAGTGCACAAGAAGACTGGAGAAAAGGAATTGCTTACACAATTCTCCACCACTCTGCTGCTTTACCAAAGAAGGTACAGAATGTGACCACCTACAGAACCACAAGGACCTCTCCTTTCTCCTGTCACCACAGCAGTCTGCGAAGGTCTGGTAACCAAAGTGTTGGGCGTGGCTGAAGCAAATAGCACCACATCCAGAATGAGAAGGGATGTGGTCGAAGTACAATACGACAAAAACTCATACGACAAAAACTCACTGGAAGAACTGGCCCACGCTAAAACCTTTGTCAATTCCTTAAGAATTTCCAGTCACCACTATAAAAATGTTACACATAAGGGAAAACACAGGGAAATATTGTTCTTAGCTGCAGGAGATGATTTTAATTGAAAAATGGAGCATTTATTTTTAAAGGGGAAGCTGGGTCCAGAAAACAAATTAAAAAAGAAACAGTATGAAGAGTTTAATGCATATTAATACACATCAACTTCAATGCCAAGGTAAAGCCAGAGATCACCAGTGTTGGAGACCAAAGCAGTAGATTGAAAATGACCCACTAGCTTCTGAATTAAAAAGTTGAAAGTTAACGTTCCAATCGGACATCAGTGCCTCCCAGTATCTCACTATCAGTGGAAACTGAGGCACATTAGTGGATTTTGCAGATATTTTTCTCTTTTAAGCACAAAACCCCTTTAACTACCTGAAAAGACAAATTATTATACAATTACAATGTAATAAAACTTTGTTTAAATATACTCAACATGCTTAAGCAGTTACTATACTTTTTCACAATCCAGAAATGTCCTCATGTACTAATGATACATTTCTAACTCTAATAAACTGCCCAGATGAGTGTCGTATTTTCACAGACGTTCTTCTGGTCCCTTCTCTGCAGCAGTGGAAGTTCCCTCTCACCACTCACAGCTACAAGGCTACACATTCTTGAGATGTGGTTCACCAATAAAAGAAAACTTGCAAGTGCCTCCATCACCAGAGCTGTCCTTGCAATTTCCGTCTCCTGCCTGTTCTCCTGTTGGCTTCTCCTGTGTTTTGTGTGTCCGGACTGTAGTGGGGTTGACCCCATGACCCCCGGACACTCTCTATATCTCAGGTTTTCAGTTTGACCTTGACCACTGACATGAAACCTTCAGCCAAATCTACAACTATGTTAGATCTGTGCTCTAAACCCCAGAGAAAGGTCTCTCAATCACAGGTCCCAATGCTGTGCTGAAAACTCTGAGGCCCCCAGGAATTTTGCACTAATAGCTGTCCTTTAACTGCCGTGTTATTTTATTCTAAGTTGTCTAGTGGGACCAGGTAATAGCTGCCTTCCTTCGAAACAAAGCATAAAGGCTTGGGATAGCAATTTGCTTCTTAGGTAATCTCCTTTCAGGGCTGCAGACTATATTATAAACTCTTTTATTAATGATGTCAGTATATTCTGCGTCAAACAGTACCTCCGGGTTGGGAGGGTATCACTCTGTGCAGATATCACATGCTCTCTTCCTTCTTTCCTAGAGCGTCTGTGCACTCACTTAGTCAGCCTCTGAATGTCTCTCCCTCTCTGCTCATCCATAAAAAATACCTTTCACGTCAAAGTAATACATGGCCATAGGTGGGATGAAAATAAAATATAAATGACATTAAAAGTTTTAAACAGTAAAGATAGCCATAGCTGGCATGGCTCAGTGGATTGAGTGCTGGCCTGCAAACCAAAGGGTGGCCAGTTCGATTCCCAGTCAGGGCACATGCCTGGGGTGCAGGCCAGGTCCCCAGTAGGGGGTGCACAAGAAGCAACCACGCATTGATGTTTCTCTTTCTCCCTCCCTTTTCCTCTCTAAAAATAAATAAAATCTTTAAAAAATAAATAAACAGTATAGATATTGTTGACAATATTTTGTCCTGATGATATTAAAATATTTTAAAACAATTTAAAAATAGTGCCAAGTGAGCAAAGATTAGGAAGAACCTTCTTCCCTCTGTCCATCATGGCTCAGATTCTCAAGATCTTAAATTATTTCTACTAGGTTTCCATTGCAAGCACGGAAAACTTCTTCTTCTTCTTTTTTTTAAGATTTTATTTATTTATCTTTAGAGGGGAAGGGAAGGAGAGAGGGAGAGGAATGTCGACGTATGGTTGCGTCTCTGTGCATCCCCTGCTGGGAACTGGCCTGCAAACCAAGCATGTGCCCTGACTGGGAATTGAACCACGATCCTTTGATTCTCAGGCCTGTACTCAATCCACTGAGCTACACCAGCCAGGGCAGCACAGAAACTTCTGACTTGTGGAAATCCATCTGTTTTAGTTCCAAACCGTGTGAAAACTCTTAACCCCACTTGTTTAATATACTGGAAAAAGAAGTCAGGCATTTTGAGAGGCAGCTGCATCCAAACATAGGTACTTATATTCTAGCCTCGAATAGCTACATCTAGCTACAATTTCTTATTAAATTTGAATTTCAAAAGACAGAAATAATCTTGGAAACTATAAAATACATTCCTGTATCCTTATCCTCAGCACTAACATCCACTTCCTTAAGGGAACTTTTTAATATGTATTTTTACAAAAACAAAGAAAGAAAAATCCTACTATTTAGAACTAATACCAGTTTCAAAGGTAAGTCAAGATAATGGAATTTTTAAAAATTTAGGAGCAAAGACACATAATAATGGTGACTATCCTATTTTAATGCTTATGTTATTCATAAACAATGATGTCAGAAACTTTTTACTACAGAGACAACATAGTATTTTCTAAAAGGGCTTGCCACTGAATCCTCTGGCCTTTGGAGATCTTTAAAAAGCATTACAAGGAGTCAGTCATGTAGTACGTGCAAAACTTTCTGGTCAATGCTCCACTCTGTCATTGATATTATGCAGTCTATCCAAGAAAGATCCCAATAAATATTTATGGGGTTAAGTTGAAGGAACTTAAGAACTGGGTGACTGACATCCATTCCGACCTACATTCTATCAACTCATACAGGCACTCATTTGAAAACCACTGAGGTACCACACAGTAGGCTGTAAGCACAGGGCACACACACACACACAATACTGCATTTATCAAAGAAAGAAAGAAAGGACAAAAAACAGCTATGGAAGAGCCAAGCTTAGAAGAAATTTCAGAACAACTATTTCTCCTTGTCACATAAACAAATTATCACTCTGATGACAGCAGTCCGAGCATTTACAGGGGTAAGTCTTAAACTGAACTATGAAAAGGCGTGTGATTTAGAATGATGAGGATTCTGGGAAGGTGGGAGAGTACATTTTATTAGGGAGGCTGGGTTTTAAATATTGATTGAAGAATTTGCATCTGGTCTAAAAGGCAAACAAAGGCATTTAGACACTTCTAAAAAAACACAGTTTTTGATGATAAGTAAAGAATTCCATACCAGTGAATTTCCAAATAGGCCAGTACCCAGACCTTCTGAACTGTGTGTGCGCGTGTATATCCAAATTAGTACATGAGAAAAGGTACAGATATTCTCAGTGAAAAACAAATTTAACCACCTCCAAACCATTTACTATGGGGCTGTGAATGCAGTCAGAGACTATGCATTCATTTACACAAACACCAGCTCATCATTCTCTATGTTAAGCACAGAGAGTTCCTGGCCCCTGAAGATGATTCACAAAACCAATTATCTACTCAGAGATAATGGAAAATTCACTGTGGTTTGAAAGATACATTCTGGCCTTTGCAAAAGCTCTAGAGAATCATTCACACCTCACAATGACTGGATCAAGAATGATGCTATTCTTGAAATCAGGAGGGATCACTAAATCCTCTGTACATTTACAAATATGCCTGTCACATTCAGGAAATACTGCTTATTTAAATATTCTGGAGTCCAATTAAACTGCTTATAGAAAAAAACTCCTTTCATTTAAGAAATGCTCGCAATGTCGTTCCCATCTACATTTATCACTACACATTTTATTTTTCCCCTAAAGTGATTTTATACTGATCAGAAGTAAAATACCACTT